GCCTGTTCATACAAGATAAAATTTTCTACAACTCTATCTTTGCATATTATTAAAAATTTGCTATATTTTATAATTCTGAAATGCATTAATTATTTCACTTTTTTTACGCCATTTACATGTATTATCTTCATAGTGTTTCAACATTTAGGACAATTGATTGTTTCATCACTTTCTAATGATGATGACTCTGAGGATGCCTAATCATGAAATGCATGAACTTATAACAAAAAGCAATGAATATAAAAAATATAAAAAGTAATGAATAATAAAAAAAATTATAACATAGAAAGTAATAAAACTTGTGAAATTGTATCATCAATTTTCTGTGGATTCTGGAAAAATATTACACCATTTGCATTATTCCAGCCATGTGAAGTTTGATAAACAACCCTATTAGCCCTCCATCTGTAAATATATATCTGCTTAGTTTGTGGATCTACTGCCGATCAAGTTGAACCAACAAGCCCTTTGCAAAGTAAACCTCCGATCTAAGACATTGAATTCTTGATATCCTTCTTGAACAACTATGACTTCTGCAACACACGTAGGTGTAAATGGCTGACCTTTGAAGGTCAATTGTTGACAATGATCAAGTAACCAATGCCGATAAGTGTTCTTTGACGTAAAGGCAACATCTAGTGCCAGAATTGTATGCTGACCAGAAATATTGAAATCAAAGCCACCTCAAGAGGTAGTGACAATTCCATCTTGACATGTTTTCATGTTCCAATTGTCAAGTTGGCAAAAGATCTTATCAGCAACAGCCCTCTTACTTATCGGATTTTGGGGCATTGGAAGGGTTGAACTAAAATAAATCCACTGGGGTCTCATTGGTCTCTAAGGTGCATGACTTTACATTAATTAATTTGAATTTTTCAAACATATAGGTACGATTGAAGTACAAGTTGTCAGATCTATTTTGTGGTCGATGGCTTTAAATTTTTAGAAGAGATTTTATATTACACTACAAATATACCATGGAGTATTCCAAGGTCTTTCAAATCCAGATAATACCCTTGAGTTCGAGATAACTGAGGTAAGTGATTAAGACATGGGAAAGAATTAAGGGTAGAGTGTAGTCATGTGATTTTTCATAACAACTGAAAGGATAAATTTTTTACAGTGACGATCATTTTCT